TCTCTCACTGTTTTACAGCTGGGATAGGTTCCAGCCTCCTGTGACCCTGAATCCCTATTAAGTGTCTGCAGAACAGGCTTCACTACCCTATGATTGTATTCTCATCGGCTGGCATTTTTCCAGAGTAACTGGTTCTCAGTCAGAATGTCACGTTTAGTTTCACAGTGTCATAATGATGATGCTGAAAACACTCAGGCGGAACATTCAATAACTGGTGTGTAGCATTACAATATGTACATTCAACTTTCGTATGCAACTTGTGGTATAAAAGTTAATTACTTCTAAACTGTGTGTGTGTGCTTTTTCAATACAGGTATGTTTTAAGGAAGGTAAATATCACAGTTCCTCTGAGACTGAAACATGGAAATGATTCATGGTGGCAGCTATTCTCTTTTTAAAGTTGTGATTTAGTCAGGTTTTGACGAACTAAACTCGGTATAAAAAAAGGAAGGAAGTTGCAGCATAAAAAAAGAATTATCCTTATATAGAGATGGAAAAACTATATACATAATATAAGATGTATGTTTTTTTAAACGTACAGATCAGTTCAAAAGCTCAAAATTCAAAAGTGAAATTCAGTGGTACTGAATAGATTATGAAAGATTTGCATGAAAATGCACACACACACACACACACACACACAACCCTGTATTTACAACCTCCATTTACAAACAGCCCCACACATCCATCCACCCAGTGGTCAATTTCATTAATGATGGCATATTTAAAGGTAACAAGGCCGGCCGAAGTGCAAGTTTAAAATAAGCAAAATAAAACCACGGATCAAACAAATAAATACAAAAAAGATAAAAGCAAACAAATGAAATATAATTAACTACAAATAATTTATGGCCTGCGATTACTAAATGTGGAAAAGCTTGCTGTGTTGGGCCAAATTAGAAATCAGAAAGTGAGTATTTTGGTAATTTTGCAGCACAGCATGAATTTAATAACACACTGTATTCTCTCCTGTATTTTGCTAGGCGTCACAGAACAAAAGATCTAATAAAATTAATTTGGCATTTGACCTTTGTACTGTCAGCTCAAGTATTTGGCAGTGCAGCAACTTATTTGCAATTTGAAACCTGAGGGACAAAAAAATACGTTGATGCAGAAACAGCCTTCAACAATAGCTGCTATTAACAAAAGATATGTGAATGTTAAAACTGACACAGTGTCTCAGTCTTGTGAAATCTAACGCTTGAGGTAGCAGACATGACAGGAATTTTTAAAGTGCGAAACATACATTCAGATAAAATTTCACATTACAGGAAACCGATGTAACATTCAGTGCTGTGAAAAAGTATTCACTTCCATATTTGTTACACTTAAATGTTTCAGATCATCAAGCAAACTTTAGACAAAGGTTCACTTAAATAGAGCCTGTCTGACAAAGAGAAGCAGCTAAAAGATCTCAAAAAGCAACCCATCAGGCAACAATCTAAAGACACAGCTGAGAAACAACATAGTGGTGGGAAGTGTGATTGCCTGGGGACCTGGATGACTAGCCATAACAGAACCATGAATTCTGATCTCTACCAGAGGATCCTGAAGGAGAATGTAAGGCCATAAATTTGTAACCGGAAGCTCAGGTGCACTTGGGTTATGCAGCAGGAGAATGATCAGAAACACACTAGCAAATTCCTCTCTGATTGGCTCAAGGCCACTCCACAAAATAATGTGTCTGATTTAAAACAATTATGCAAAAAAGAATGGTCAAAAATGTCTCTACAGTGATGTGATTGCCAATTATTGCAATTACTTGATTTCAGTTCTTGCTGCAAAGGTTGGCAGAACCAGTTACTTTTTCACAAAAAACTTTAAAAAAAATCACGAAGGGGCCAAATATTTTTTCACAGCACGTCAATAACAGTAAAGATTAGAAATAGAAAGTTTCATATTGCATCACGTACATGAATAAAAATGCTCTAAAACACTGGCAGTCTTTTCAAAACACATAAGGGCTTCTCAGCAATTTGTGAAGAAAGAGTTAAAAGAACGTTTACATTTTCATACAATTCATAAGGTCATTATTTGTTTAAAAAAAACGACATATATTCCAGAGAGTTAATATTGCACTGGAAAAACCAAACAAAATAACACGAATGGCTTGCATTACCCGTCTGAGCCACAGCTGTTACAGATGTTTACACAGATGTCGGAAGTGCAGTTAATTAATGGAAGGAAAGAAACAATAACTGTCACTGAAAAAACAGTAATTGTAACAAATTTAAGATTTTAGAATATCACAGATTTAGCCTCTAACTTACATCACTGAGGAACTAAAAGGACAAACTCTTAATCAGAGCCATCATTAGACAAACCCAGATCACTGGGCTTGTCTTTCGGCCCTCTGCCTTATTCGGCCACAGTCGTTTGTACGGTTGGGTCTTCGCGTCATTCTCCACCTGTAGTTCATACTGTACCAGGACTTTACTGTAACCCATCTCCTGTGATATACATTTGTAAGTTCCCTTGCACTCACTGTCCATGTTGTCAATCAGATAAAGGCACTGCTCTTTCCCCGAGCTACAGGCTGTAGAGTTTTCATCGTGCTGCCAGCTGTACTGAGCATGACGGGATGACACTGGGCATTGAAGGAAATACTTTGAGTAACGCGGGACTGGGACTGGGTCACCTTTATAATTTGATGCTGTGGAAACAACAGAAGAGGGACAATTTCAGTTCTGATTTTTGTTTTGTCTGTTTATTTTTAAACCAGTCAGATTTCAAACGCAGTGTAGTAAACTTAAAACAAACAAGCTTTCCTTCCCTCAGGTGAATGTTCATATAAGGACCAAGGGCGATGTAATTTTAAAGCAAACAACAGAGAAAATGCGGTTGTATATTTTAACAATCATTGTCTACATAGTGGAAAACTGACATTGTGTCTATTTATGCATTTGACTTTTCCACTGCAGTCAGCTCAACAAATAGAATAGATACAAAAGATATTACCTAATGGTGTGTAAGTGTTTCAGTTGTTAATTATAGAATATAAAGCATAAGAGAACTTCTCCTTTTAAAGCCTTCAAGTTAAAAGAGGAAGTTGATCAGCTATAAGGGTTGGAAGCATTTATAAAGAATAACAGAATAAAATAGAAGAACTATATCATATGCAAATAAACATAAAAGGATTACTAAGAGATATTATTAACGTAAATTATTTAAATTTTAAAGGGTAAATGTTTGTAATGATGAAATCACAAGTTGTGGAATAAAAACTTTTTTTAGTAACTCAGATAAACATGATCTTAAGATGTTGATAAGATTAAAACTGAAGCACATTTGACCACAGATGGCACCAATGATGAGTACCATTGCAGAAGTGTGTGGCATA